GCAAAATGTTCATCTCAACATTCTTTTTTCATTTATGTATGATCCAATGGAATTGGTCAAGTACCAGTGGTTCAATTCGATCTGTTATGCACTCCCATCCTTTACGTTAACACATATGAACAGTAAGAGAATAGATGCTGTAATACAAATAACAATTTAATATAAAAACATCTGGTCGAACAAAAGTTTACTCTCATTTAGACCTATAAAAGAGAAAAAAGATTGGTTATAGCTTGAACCGAGTGAGAGAAGTTCCAACTTTTATGATCAAAAACCATGTTCTGAGAAAAGTGATTAATAAGTTTCGAAATGGATTTTTTAATTCAAATCTAGAAAAAATCATATTAAAATGGTATATTTTCATTAGCGGCGGATCCTTAACACTAGCGACTCATTAGACTTTGAAGGGAAGACAATCAGATTGGTTAATAATAAACGGCCAAAGTCTATATCAGGCGACATCTATAGATAACCAATCAATGAATCAGAATGAATTCAGCCGATTATTCTTACCCAATCAGATTGGAGAGAACGAAAAAAGTTTCATACTTTTAAGTCTGGTTGGCTTGCCACCAAAGTCTAGCGAGTCACCAGTGTTCACAGCTCGATAAGGTATATTCCTAATATATTTAAATGGTATTTTCGAAAGCAGGTAACAGATGACGTATGCTAGCATCATCTGTCGTATTTATATACTTTTCCTTCTCCTATTTTTCAGATGGCGCACTCATTATATACCACTGTATTTTTTGAATACGTTAGTTTACATCAGACATTTGATAATTCAAAAAAATTAATGAAGTCCCTCAAATGAGATTTTCTTCTCAATATCCAAGTTTGATGAGATTTTCTGAGAAGGTATAACTCGAGTTAACCACCTCATGGTAAACGCTTCAGCTCGATACATTGAGTATGCAGGTCAAAGAAAAAAACAATTTTTCTCGAAATCTAGAAAGATTTTAGAACGGATACAAACTCGAAATCATTTTTTTGCTCCGTACAAAGAAAAGGTTTTCTATCAAACCACTTCGGACTGGTGTACTGGAGATTTCGTAGGCGAGATTTATCACCAAACTGTTTTACCAAATCAAAAATAAAGTTTTGTACGATACTTAACCCATTCAGTCTAATACTTAACTCCTTATAACTCAATTTATTCCTTTCTAACAATGTCTAATCCCTCATTCCTATACTGAACTTCTCATTTGCATACCTATTCCCTTATTTATATAACTAACGTCTTATTCTGAAATTCAATTCCCCATAAATATGTGTCACCCATTATTTCTGTACTTAATCCCTTATAACTATACCTAACCTTTTCTAACTGTATCTAATTTCTTATTTCTATTTCTGACACCTTATTCATAAACTTAATTCATACAATGATCTGTTTAACTTTAATCTGGTTCAAAGAAAAAAAAAACAGCACGTGATTTCAAATAACAATGTGGGCACAGAGCCTTTAGAATTGTGAATCAATTTATATAGCTATATACCCGCTTCTTTTGGACGCTAGTGCTGGAGGGGTGAGGGGCAGTCATGTAGTCTTTAGAATTATTTAATCATATGTTTACGTATATATCCCCTATTTTCTGATGGTGGATCTACCGGGTCTATAGTATGTACAGTAAGAAATAATTCAAAAGACCCTCTGGGAGTTCATAACCCCACTATCTAAAAAAGAGAACTATATAGCTATATATGATAGTAAATAATTCTAGGGACTCACGCGATCCACTGTCCATAAAATACAAGTTATCACGAGTGTTTCGAAACATCGCATTAGATAAAAGGGGATATCGTCAGGTTTGGATGAGTTGTATGTGTAACATCATTTATTCAGAATAAGATTTCCTCACGCTCCGTGATTCATCTTGTGCAAATAAACAGGCTTCTTTTGGTGAATTCTCTAAACCATTGTTGTTGGCAAAATCTCATTTTATGATTTGGTTTTTTGAGATTTATCAAAGTTTTGAAAGTTAATAGCTCGTTTCTCATAGTCTATTTGACGTTTTCGATGACTCTATTTTTTGACATATCCCCTTGCGGAGAACCAGGGTGAAGTTTTTTCGAAGAAAATGAAAGTTGTCAGAACTGTTTGAAAAATGCATAAATCATATTCAGAATTTTGTGCTGATTCCAAATATATCGCTTTTGTGAATAGCAGTCGAGTCATTTTAATCGATATCGATCGGATACGAAGCAAAAATTGCTGCCTTTTGCTGTCTGTAGTCGTTGCATACCTATATTCAGTTTGTTTCCCCAAAATTCATATCCATGCAATAGTAGTATTTTGTAGAGCTTCAAAAGAGCTATCGATTAGTATATAAACGAAAGTATTTTAGACTGAAAATAAGAGAGAAAGATCATCCACAATATCGGTGACAACTACTTAAACACCCATATTGGCGCCGCACTGTTTGTCTTAAAGATGAACGAAAAAATTTCTCAAACAAATGTGATGTTTTCATGATTCTTGTATATACTTGTGCAGTTTTCTGTTCTCTTTCTAATGATATATGTGCGATCTCAGATAACATAAATTAGTACAGTCTAATGAGTCCATTTCAGCGAATGTGTAAAAATAATTTTACTACGAGTTTTATAGGTCTAATATAGTGATCGTGTAATGACCCATAACGATCCAAATCATTTTCGTTTCAATTAAAAACATCACCAAACGATTCAGCGCAACTTTTTACCCATGTCTACGTAGCTTTTACATAGAAATTCTTAGTGAGCCGATTTGTGATCTTATACGTCCCCATCCTTTGTGGGGAACGCACTTTTCTCAAACATACAATGTACATAAGCGGTAACACTTATTTTTTCTGACTAATATTTAATTGGATTTGATTAGAATAGTTAGGCTACAAAACGAAACAGACATTATATTTGTAATCAATATAAAGAGCTGAGTTGATCTATATATGTCACAAAAGCTTTCGGCTACTTTTATTTTCGTCCCAGTATTCAATCCTGGTTCTCATCAGAGTTACATGAATAAATACAGTCAGACAAGACGTCTGTTTTATTATGGAAAGCTCTTTCTTTAACGTTTAAAAAGCTAAGAAAATCGAAAATGATAAATGAATAAATAATGAAAACGATGTTTTGATTGACACTTTTCCATGTAACTCTGACGAAGACCAGAGCCGAATTTTTAGGCGAAAATAAAAGTAGTCGAAAGCTTTTGTGACATATATAGATCAACTGAGCTATTTATGTTGATTACAAATATATTACCTATTTCGTTTTGTAGCCTAATTATTCTAACGAAATCTGATTATCTATTAGTCAGAAAAAGCAACTGTTACCGCTCACATACATTGTATATTTGCGAAAAATGCGTTTCCCACAAATTTAGCTGAACAGTATAATACCATTTAGTAGAGCTTTGAAAAGCCTATCGGATGATATATCATCTAAAGTAGATCGCTGTTTTCAAAGCTCATATTGAAGAGGAATTTTGTCATTGCTGTGCTCATACTAATATATACAAATGAACAGCATTATTTGAAGAAAAAAGGAAAAGAATAATATTTTGTCATAATCCCATTGGCATTCAATAGAAGAAAGAAAGAGTTTTCATTTGAAGTATAATTCAAATTAAAAGAGTTGAAGACGATAGGAAAACTTTTCATAGAAACATTTCATAGCATGAACCTATAATGGATAGATAATATTTGAGTATTAAGTATGTCGCACAGAGTCAGGATGAAGTCTAATTGTCATATTTAAATAACAATTGATTTCTGAAATCTGAATTTACTATTGGAAAAAATTAGAAACTCAATTTCGTCGGAAGACCAATTTCACTGTTTAGCGATACCCTCCACCCCCCCCCCCCCCGATCCTTTGTTCTAACCATCAATTTTACAGTTTATATCGAAAATACGTTTCGTAAGCATTTTGTTATTGATCAATACAATCGGGTGATAATATGTAATATTTGTACAAATAATAAGCAAAAAAAGAAAAATATGCAAAACTAGAAAATTCTCAATTGTGAATTTATTAGGAAGAATGTATTTAAGAGATATCTACTGTTTTGTTTTTATTGCAGTGTGTCAATGCAATCAAACATTGAATCTTCTTGCACGTTCTGAATATTTTCAACTTGACACTAATGTCGATGATGGTCAATTAATTCTTACTAATCTATTCACTCCACCTCATATTTTAACACTAATAAGAAGTAACTCAACAGTACCAACATTGACAGTATCACTTATCAAAGGTTCTGTTGATCTTATGTCAATTGGTGTTGGTGGTGGTCAATCAGGTGAATTCAATGCTTATATAACCTTTGATAGCTCATTGAGTAATGGTACAACAACTATTGGACCTATTAAATCTAGCCAAGGTGTTATTAAACAATGTTTTCTAAGGGTAAATATTATCAAATTGGAATTTTCTGATTTACCTATTTCAACTTCGAAACAAGATGTTCCAATCGACTTAGTAACATGCGAACATACATTACGTAAGTTTCATTTCGAAGTAAACGAAAAGGAAGTAAATATTCTCGTCTTTTTTTTTAGCTTGTAATTGCACACCATTATATGATATAATGCGAGATTCAAATTATTTAGGACGAATCGAAGTAAGCGAAACAAGTGAACAATTGAATACATTACGCGACATGATAATACGTAATAATAAAACTGGTTTTCAATTCAATCCATCAGCAACATCAGGCTATTTTCGAGTTTATTTTAAAAAACCAATTTCTATTGCACTTGTTCAAATTTTAACACCTCAAAGCAATGTTAAACAAATACGCTTATCCTATTTGGATCATAATAATCAAACAATAAAAAATCCAGCATTACAAGGATGGCAAGTAAATCATGTCAGTCAGTTTGGTCGAGAAAATAATTCATTGGATAAATTATGTCCAAACTTTTTATTTCATGGTATTCAAGTCGATCTTTTACAAACAGATCCTTCGTCTTCATTAGTTCATAATGCGACATTAAAAGTTTATATACGAACTTGTGATGGAACAGGTGGACGAATACGTAAGTTTATATGTAAATTTAAAAGAAAATAAAAATTATTTTTCCTTATTTAGAATTATGTGCTGAAGCAAATATAATGCATCGACAAAATTTAGAACTATATAGATTTATAACACCTGAATGTTTTTCTGATATGGCACAAGCTTATGAAAATCTTCGTGGTGAAAATTGTCGATCAAAAAATCCCGAAGTTTTAATTAAATTTCAACCACTAAGTCGAGCATATATTTCAAAAGTTGAAGTTCAACGTCGACATACTCGATCTCCTGCAAATATTCGACAGATTCAAGCAGTATTTTTTGATACTAATAATTCACTTATATTAGATGAAATTACTGGTGAACCGATACGATGGATATCACCAGAAAATGAACCAGTTATTTCAGGTGATTTTCAAGATGTAGGTGGTTTGATAGTAAAAGTATTAAAAACTGACAATGATGAAAATCTTCGAGGATTCCGAGTTAAATTAATGGGATGTTATTCAACAGGTATGAAGATTAAATTTAAAATATATATATTTCATTTTCTTTTGTAATTTAGCTAAATTGGCAACGTATATCATTGAGGAGACAACAACTCAAACAAGTTCTACTATATGTAAGAATATTTTATTTTTATATAAAAGTAAAATATTAAATTATGTTTCTAGCGAGTGTATGTCCTGATCCAATTGATTTAATGGCTAATCCTTCGAATAAAATAAATTCTATGAATCTAAATGGAGAAAATGTATCAGATGTTGCTTCAATTTCATCTTTATCATCAGGGTTGACTGCAAAATCTGGAAATACACTTAAATTATTGACAAATTTTACAAAACCAATTGAAGGCATAACAAGTATTGGATTGATTAATTCACCAAATGTTGTAGGACCAATTCGATATCAATTATATGATGGTTTGGGAACTTTAATCGAAGTTAATGGAACTAAGGTTGGAGAAATTGTTTCTATTAATGCCGAACATATCGAACAAATTGTTATAACGACAAATTTACCTACAAATGATGGTCAACCACCTAGAAATTTAAAACTTGTTTTAAATGGTTGCTTTAACGAAGCGCAATTGGCAACAAAAGCTCAGATTGAAGATGACGAAAGTACAGCTATTCAAGGTAAATAACAAATAAAATTGTTGATTTTTATTTAATGTTTTTCTCATATTTAGCTACAACAACAATCGCTCCTCATCGTAAGTTTATACATTCTTTGCCTTGATATAATAATTGTTTTTTTTCTTGAAATTCAGCTGTATGTCGCGATACAAATCTTCTTGGACGAGAACATCTTAAAGAATATTCTTCAAATGATGTTATGTCGGATTTATCAAACGCACACCTTTTTAAGAGAGGTGTGACATTTCCAGTTTCACAACCAAATATAACAGTAAAATTTTTAAGTGATGTTATTGTTACAAAAATGTACACACAAGTTCATTATCTTACACATACAAGTAATATTCGACAAATTTGTGTTACTTTATATAATAATAATTCAACACCATTAACTTATCCGAATGGAACACTTGTACCCTTATTAAAATCACCCTTAGATAATCCAGTTATTGAAGGATGGTTTGAAGGTGTTAATAGTATGCGTGTACAATTATGTGATACTAATGATGGTCTACCACCAAAAAGATTTCGATTTGGTGTTTTCGGTTGTTATTCATCACAGGTTACATATATTTTACTATCACCAACAGAATATCCTGGACAACAAACAACAACGCCTCCATGTAAATTTCATTGAATTGAAAAATAAAATATTTTCTGTCTTTTTTTTTGATATTTAGTATTTTGTTTAAATGATCGACAGGATGCTATGCTTGATCCATCAGAATGGTTTGAAAATGCAACAATAAATAGTCTATCTCTACCTGCATTTGATGTTGTATCATTATCTCAATTTAAACCAAATTCAGGTGGTGTTACATTTGACAGTCGTTCTCCATTACCAACAATTGATTTAATTCCACGTGGACAGCGAGGTTCTTTTGCTACATTAGGTTTTAATAATAATCCAAAACAAGCAACTAATATTCAATCAGGACAAATTATATTAACATTAAAAGAAGGAACAAAACAAGTTTATTCATTATATGGACCAGATAATCTTCTTATAACGCCTAATCGTAATTATGATGTTAGAAAAGTATCGATGCAAATTTTGAATACAACAGATGGACAACCAGCAAAAAATGTTGAAATTATTGTTTATGCTTGTTTATCAGGTTTGTTTCAAATATAATAAATTTAATCGAGTTTTGTTTTCATTCCTATTCATTTTGTTTTTAAACAAGAAGCTTTCATATATTTAAAAAAAAATAGAAAAAAACCGCGGCTAATTTTATTGTATGATCTTCATTAGATTAGTATTATAAATCTTATAATGGATCTAATAAGATCCGTTCTGCATTTGGATTCTATAGGTCCTTTTGAAAATGGGAATTTTAGTTTAAGTGAAAAGTTTTAGTCAAGTATGCGAGCTCGAGTCCAAATTCAAGTATAAAAAAAAAACAAAATTTGAATTGATCAGGTTCAGATGCAAAAAAATTTGGGCCCAACGGACTCTAATTAACGTCTATTATATATCAATGATATGATATGTGAAATAAGTGCTTTGCTTGCTTTCTATGCGAGCCGGTCTTTTCTGTCTAAAGGTCAGAGAAGTATATGATACCTAAAAAATGAGACGGCAATGATCCGAAGGATGACGGCAGCCTTAAAATAGTGGTCGAGTCGATCACTACCCAAATGCCTTTTTAGACAAGTGAAGTGATCATCAGAGATTCCTGCCGGCTGATTCTAACGGTAACCAAGGACATGTTTTTTCGTTCTAATTTTTTTTCTCGCATTTGTGACATTGTAGTATCTCTTTAGAAATGGTGTTTCATTTTTGAACACTCGCGTATGCACAACAATGTAACATTGAGAATACTACGAAAGAATATTTAATTAGACAAGATGTAGCTAAACATACAAATACACTTTTAGAGTCTTTGTTACAATCTTAACCTATTTTTCAATTAAATTAACACAAATTTAGATTTAAAGCAAATTTAAATATTACAGTCCACGTCTATTGAAAGTATACCCTTCGAATTTTTTGTTTTTTATTAATATACGTTTTTTATCTATCAACCTACTATATATAGGAAGAAAGCCCGAAATGCGCTGCATCTTTTGGTATATTTACATTGACCATCAAATGCAGTTTGAAGTATGAAAGGTGTATTAGAAGAAAAAGTCACTTTTTCTTTTTTGCCGCAGTGTTTATAATGTTGTAGCATTTTTTATTTAGCATATATCTCGACTTAGGTAAATGATAAAACGTTGAATTTTTTTTCCAAAAGATGCGCCGTGAAAAGCTCTACAAAAGCTGCATAATCGAATTCTTTTTTTTTTAACCTGTTCTAGTGATTTTTCTGATACTCAAAATGAACAAATTACATGCCAGTGTCACTTCCCATTATACTGGAACTGTTGGAAGACTTTTTTGATTACCATATATCTCCACTTGAGAAAATGACGGAATATGGAATTTTTTTTCAAAAAAGGTATGCCGTCGAAAGCTCTACAAAATTTGTATAGACCAAGTGCTGTAGTGGATCAGAGAAGTCCTCGAAACGTTATCTACATGATGGGAAGTGATAGTGCTATGTAAGTTGTTTCATTGTGAGTATCAGAAAAACCACTAGAGTAGATAAAAAAGAATTCGATCATACAGCTTTTGTAGAGCTTTTCACGGCGCATCTTTTGGAAAAAAAATTCAACGTTTTATCATTTACCTAAGTCGAGATATATGCGAAATAAAATATATTACACCAGTACGGATACCCGAAATTTGGTAAAACAAAAAAATGTCACTTTTTCTCTGATACACTTTTTATACTTCAAACTGCATTTGATGGTCAATGTAAATATATCAAAAGATGCAGCGTATTCCGGGCTTTCTTCCTATATATAGTAGGTTAATACATAAAAAACGTATATTAATAAAAAACCAAAAACTCGAAGGGCATACTTCCAATGGGCGTGGACTGTATACTCGTCACAATAAAATTTACTAAATTTTGAGCTAGGTTGATTTGCTACAAGGATAATTATTAATCAACATTGTTTAAGATTTACTTTACAAATTTAACAAACGAATATCAAAATAAAATAATAAAATGAATGGTACCTCATAAAGAACGAATTAATCAACGAATAAATCTTTTCTTTTAACCTTTAGCGTTTAATGTACATTTGTTTTTAAAAATATTCCAGCAAGAGAATTTAATAGCTGGTATGATAAAGGTGCGGCTACTTGCAGACATATAAGACGAGTATAGAGCACAACTCCTTCAAAAGCTTTTTAGGTCGGTATAACCGTCAAAAAATGAGTCATATTTGCTGTTAGAACGAGGACCACTCTTACGTACGAGCAGTATATATCTCTGCTAGTAACTCTCAGAAGGGAACAGTACATAGTGATTGTTTGGAAATATATTGTGTGCCGATATTTCCATGGAATTTATTGAAACATATACATAATTAAATCAATAATTGAGTCTATTTGAAAAGATAAGCACTATATGTTATTATTAATCATGATTAGGTTAGAAGTCTAAATCATATTATTCATATTTAATAATGAGAAAGATCTCTCCTATCTATAGTTAAAATTCGAATGTTGTTTTAACCATTTATATTGTTGCTAGCCTCTTTGAAAATTTATCGCACCTGTAGGTCGTACAGTAAAAGATTAAATTTTATAATTTTGTTTCAGGAAATCAATCTTTATCTACACCGAGCACTACTAAAGGTATTTTAAAGTTTATTCCCATTATGTTTAAAAAACAATTTTTTTTTATAGAACCATGTATTCCGATTAACTTGGCTGATCGATCATTAATGGCATCCGTAACATCACCAGACTCTAATATAACTGACCTTGCTCCACAAATAGTGTCAGGTTCAACTGGTGTTAGTTCATTTGTAAGTGCTCAACCTGAAATAACCTTTCTTTATGGTACACAACATGTTCAAACTTTATATGATATACGTGTACCAACTGAAAATTCAAATGTACGTCAAATCGAAACATCATATATTGCATTACCAGATGGTTCAAAGCTTTTAACAGATTCTAAAGGAGATGTCATAAGGAATCTATCACCCTTAAATGATCCAACAGTAAAATTAGATCCACCACGTGAAGGAATTTATGGATTTAAAGTAAAAGTTTTATCTACAAGTGATAATTCAACACCAAGAAACGTTACAGTTATTGCTAATGGATGTCAAAAATCAAGTAGATATTTTCGTTTTCTTAAAACAAAAAGCCTTTTATCTATATTTTCAAATAGGTGCAACAGCAACAACACCAAATCCATTTTACCATGTTCCACGTAAGAAAAAGACAAAATATTTCAATAAAAATTATTTGATTAAAATTTTAGGTGCTTGTCCTGATAGTGTAAGTCTTTTATCAGCACCTGAATCATATATTCAATCAATAAAAGCTGATACGGAAGTCATTAACAAAGACAAATTTCAAGATATTACAACAACCGGTTATACATTTCCTTCAAACGCAACAAAATATTCAATTACTGTTGAGTTTCGTCAGCCATTGACCGTCGATCGTATGGGAATTTTACAAGGAACCAATGGAACAAACGTTGATGTATTTCATGTTATATTGAATCAATCACCAGAGCGTTCGAAATATTCAGGTCATGTCGGAGAATTAATTGTAGCTAATGCAAGTGATACCGATCAATCTGCTCGTTTAACATTTCATATAAAAAACACAACTGATGGACAACCACCAAGAAATGTTCTTATTTATATTGAAGGATGTAATTTTAGTACACTACAAACAAAAGCTCAAATTGAAGAACAAGGTTCAACAACCAAATCAGGTTTAATTATTATTGAATATTTTTAAATTTATTATATGAACAAATTTTATTTTAGCTACTTGGTGTCCTGTAAAAAGTATAATGCACCCAGAAAATATGGCTGAATATTATTCACCTGATGCTTTATCGGATCTTTCAGAAGCATATGAATTTCGACGTGGTGTTTCATTTCCACTTTCTCAAACACCGACAATTCGTGCATATTTTAATGCACCTGTCAGTATTTCAACTGTTGCTTTGGTACCAATACATAAACATCGTATATCAAATATAATTAAATACAGTTTATACTATATAACATGGGACAATCAACCATATATTGATCCAACAACAGGAAAAGTATTAAACTTAACAACAGCCGATGGAGATTCAAATTTAACAATTCAGCATGAATTGATTAACAATTTGAAGGGGCTTAATTTAACTATTCTTAAAACAAGTGGTGGAACACCAACTTGGTTTCGTTTGAAAGTTTTAGGTTGTTATAAACCAAGTAAGTTATTCATAAAAAAGAAAGAATGAAAATTTCCATAGTAATGACAAACTTAAGTTTGGGTTTGTTATTGAATTCAATAGATATATAAGTCATATCATACTTAAATTTGCATTACAATTGAATAATTTTTATTAATAGGTGTAACTTATTTTATACCAATGGACACAATAACTTCTGCAATGGAGACAACAACTTCTGCAATGCAGACAACAACTTCTGCAATGCAGACAACAACTACTGCAATACAGACAACATCAACACCAAAAAGTACATTTCTTTTCTTTCTATTTTTATTATTCATTTTGTTTTCTTTTTCTTGTTATAGAATGTGAAAATCTAACTGACTTAACTCAAATGAGTAATACACTTTTTTCAAAGGTTATTATTCAAAATCAAACACAAACATCATCTAGTATTCCTTCACCTCTTGTGGTAAACCAATTACCTTTTCAAATTGATATCGATTTTGCACGTGAAGTATGTTTTTAAATTAAATTTTATTAAATTTAATCAAAAACAAAAATCTTGTTATTCTTCTTATCTATAGGTTGATATTGAACAAGTTCGTTTTGTTAATGGTGATCAATCGAAAATAAGTCAAATAGGAGTAATGGCTGATGTTATGAATGATTATGTTAATAGTACAAGTCCAACATTGAATGCAGTATTATTTCCATCAACAATTGAATATGTATCACATTTAACTGTTAAATTAAATAATACCATAGATAATTCATTACCGAATAATTTAAAACTTGAAATTCTCGGTTGTTATATAGCAGAATCTGAATTATTTACTAAAGCACAAATTGAAATGGGTGAGTTCTTCTTCATCTGTTTATTTTAACATTCGATTAGCATTTTAGATGAAACAACAATGCATACAGAACTAATGGGTAGTACAACCTCTGATTCAAGTAATAAAAAAAACAACGTTCGCCATTTTCTTTTTAAATTTCTTAACTTTTTTTCAAGGTTGGTGTTCACCGACAAATATCTTAACTCCTGGTAATATGCAAACATATTCATCACCTGCAGCTCCATTTAGTGATTTTTCACGTGCTTATGAAAATATGCAGGGTGAAAAGTTAACAGAAGAACCATACATAATTAATGCATTCTTTAGTAATCCTATTTGTGTATCGGAAGTGCGAGTTCAACAAGAAGCACCTCGATATAAACCATCAAATATCGCAAAGATTGAGGTTAGTTATAAAACAAGTGATAAAACTGATTTAAAAACATCTGATGGAAATAAAATTGTTTTACAATCACCTGATGATAATGCAACAGTTATAGAAAATCAACTACGATGTAATGTTCAAGGCGTTGATGTTAAAATATTAAAAACGACTGATGAAAATAAACCATCTTTTGTTCGAGTGATGGTATTGGGTTGTAATGCACCAAGTAAACAAATTTTATTTGAAAGTAAATGAAAATGTTTTGTTAAATATTTTTAGTTAGTACAATGCTACCTTCAGCTGATGTCTCCACAACAATGCCAACTAGTTCAATCATTAGTAAGAATTTTGTTTTATATAAAAATCTTAAATCTTAACTTTTTTGTTTAGCTACTCAGCAGCAAAGCACCGAACAAACCAGCATAACTGGAAGTACTACTCCTATGCCAGGTAAATTTCATCAAAAAAAAAATTAATTTAGTATTTTTTATTTTTTTTTTGATTTAGAGTGCACAACACCAGTCGAGATGATCAGGTCGAACGATCAGTATTTTTCGCCAATAATATCTGATGGAGTAAAGTATGAGCAACCTCCTTTTCCTAAGTCATTCAATATGACAAAATCTACAATGAAAATTGAATTTTATACTCCTGAACCAGTAGGATCGATAAATTATTGGATCTTTTTTTGTTTCTATACATTCGTTTTTTTATTTGTTTTAAGACCACTATGACATCAGTTTCCGTGCTCAATCCAAATGAATCACAAATAACACAAATGACTGTTGAAACTGATTATGGCAATTATACCAGTACTAATCTACAAGGGTTACAAGTCAATTTTACACCTAATATTGAATTTAATACTCGTCTTATTATCACGTTGACAACAACAATGTCAGATGTAACTTTCCCAAAAGAAGTAAAATTAGCTATTTATGGTTGTGGAGAACCATATGGGCTTGCAACTAAAGCACAAATAGAAGATAGTAAGAATCCAAAATGGATTATCATATAAACTAATTTGATCGAATATACTTTTAGTGACGACAGAGTCAAATGAACCAACGACTGTCATTGGAACTAGCCCTACCAATGATTCAGAAAGTGAGTCATAATTAATCATGTACTAAATTCAAACCTTTTGAGTTTGGTGCATTTACTTTAATGAGTTTGGATATTGGTTTTGAATTTGTATCTGATACCTGACCTCACTGAACTAGTCGAGCTTGGGTATAGTTCTGTTTCTTTCACATCTCGTCTGTATATTTAAAATAGTTTTTATAGATAAACATAAGCAAAAAGATATTTCTGTGTTTCATATTGTCGCGATGCTTTTCACGAGTTTTACTATAAATCCTGATAGTTATTTGGACGCCAAATTGATGAATTTCATATCAAAATATCTTCTTGTAGAAAGTATATCGGTATATGAAGTAATTTTCTGACGTCAATTTTCATGAAAGAACTATTTTAGTGAGAATCACAAATAGTTCTAAATTGAATGGGTCTCGTATAGTTCTCAATGCATGTATTAGAGAATCTTCGTATAACTGGGAATCATTTCTCTCTCAATATTAAAAAAAAATCCTTCTAAGATAATAGACACAAAAGACAGATTATAAGATCGTTATGTCATGATTAATGTTTTAAAATGATTTCCGCAGTTATTCATGTTTTTTAGCACTTTTATGCTGTTTATATTTAAGTTCGGTCTGGATAATATTTTCCTTTCACTATCTTAGCGGTGTATTAGTTTTGAGGTGAACCATTTTGTAAGGAAAAAACAATAATAAAGAAAATATCGTTGAAAAGCCATTTCTTCTTTAAAAAAATTTCTTGAAAACACTTCACGATCACTTTGGAAGGCGCTTTAAAAATCTTTTTCATGTAACCTTCGCAAAAAATGCGTGTTCACCAGGATTGAACATGATCAACATGAACATGTCGCTTTAAAAGAAGCATTTCTCAGATAGAAAGATATTCAGTAAGAAGATGCAACATAATACGAAAATATATGTTCCACCTATGTTCTTTGCTGAAATTCTAGCACGTTCTTGGTTTAGAAGATCGAGCTCCTATCTGATAGATACATGTTTCTCAGGGCACACGTTCGAACATGTTCTACAAGGTAGGTATTCTATGGCTAAGAATTCATTTCCTTTTCCAGACAAAATATAAAAGTATTTCTCGAAGTAAGCTCAAAGAATGATCAAAAATATTAGATAAAGTTGACTCAGGTACCTTTTTCCTATAAATTCTTTCTTCGCAGATAATCGTATTTATTCAAGTAACGAAGGAGCTTATAACTTAGTTCGTGGTACATTTCAATTTGAACGAAGACCATCTACACTAATCAGATTTCAAAATCAGTACGTAGTTGACTGGAATAAAATTTGATTCAAAAAAGTAATAAAAGAATTAGCTGTAACGATAAAATGAGAAAGAGAGATGTTATGACAGACTGGAGGAGTAGCTAGCCGCTACTCGGCAATGATGTTTATTAGCTACTTCACATGTCCAGAGTGTGTCTATTGCACATTCAACACAAGCTTATATATGATAGAGAAATAAAGAGAGAGACGACACAGAGAGAACAATAGAGAGAGGAAGAGGAAAGAGAAAGAGTAGTGAGCCGTGACGTATACATCGGCACACTAGCGCTTACACCTTTCGCTAATTTTTCTTCTTTCATCAATTTTTTTTTGTTGTGAGTATCTTGATGATATGAGATCAATACAACAAAACTTGAAGACTTTCAATTTTAGCAAAAGATCAATACTTTAGGAAAATAATCACTTTCAACGAATATTGACTTCTCTATCGTATTATAACTTATATCTCATCAATAGTTACATGAATAATAACCAAATCTTTACTGCATATACACCTGAAGATTCTCTACAAGATAAAACTAAAATCATCTTAAACAGTTACTTCATTAACGAGTATTGCCTCTCATTATGAAGTACTTAGTTACACACTTACTTTTTAGTATATCAGAAAGATTATTTAACCTATAGTTTCACAATGATTCATTGGTTAAAAAGTGAAGTTTTTATCATAAGTGTAGTTTCATAGAGTCTATCAAAATCATTAAAAAGATCGGAAAAAAATTATGAT